AAAAAAAGTACTACAGTACAGTTAGTTGACTGAACAATCTTGAGAGTCAGAGTGTCAGACTCAGTTAGGTTGTTGCATTCAATAGTAGGTGCTCAACAAAACCGTGACTTGCGGGGGATAAGGCAACTCAACCAGCAAACTCTATAATAATCACGAAAGATACTTTCGCATTACTGGCCCTCCTATTGATTTTTAAAACGTGAGCTACGCTAGGTTTTCTAACTACGGGTTAAAAGTTGTCTTTGATGTAAATAACACGGATAGAGATGCCTCAGGTGTGAACACTCATAAGGAAATGCTAGCAAGGATTTGAGAATCTATATTTCCTTCAGGAACAAGAAGTGTGTGTGCACATAATTCGTCAACCCCATTAGCCAATGTGCTGGGAAAGAGAAATGAAAAATATTTCCACCTAAGTTTCCAAAACAAAATATCACATAAGATCAGTAATTTTGAACTAAAAGATTTCCTAGTCAAGACTCAAGAAACTGGTTTCAGAAAGGCACAAATGCGAATCTTGAAGAAATTTATTCAGAAACATGTATCACGAAAGACAAAACCTTCTCAGTCCAATTCATGTTTCTTATGCCAGATAAATTATTTGAGACCAATTTACAACCATTAATATATAGTATAGATTAGTACTTGTCCTCCAAATTACCTTATATTCAATTATACAAAATTCCAACCATGAGGTCAATTTTGTGGGCATAACGGTGTCTACTACAAAGATTTCCAAATCAAGTTTACTTAGACAAATCCACCAGAAGCAGTAACGCAACCACTACTACTCAATTTTAAGCATGCCAATGTTACGTAAATTTTAACATCCAGAAGTATAAACGAGTTCAAGCCAGAGCATGATGCTCATATGCTACATGATTGACTTCTCTGGTCCAAAACCTCACCTCGTGTTCTAAACATGGCAAGCAATGGCTAATAGTCCAATTGTCAACTTCTGTGCAAATCCATAAGTCATAAAAAGACAGAAAACCCAGAAATTGCACGCATATACTGAACCAAAGTTCCATGATCCCTTTTACAACGCATCAACCTAGCAACATATTGCTCGTGAATTTGATCTCGGATTCAAAGGAAAAATACAACCTAAAAAGGATGCAACTGATCGAACATACATAAGCCAGAGTATCCCTAAAACCATTTCCTTCAAGTTCTCTCCAAAAACAGAATTAGTAAAATCATTTCTTTAGGTATTCTCACCACTAAAATCCCAGCCTAAATGTAATAGAGATCAAAGCACCCTTGCATTCGAACTGAAACGCTCCAAATCGATAACCACGACACCATTAACAAAAAAGGGGGAAATTAGCAGCAAATATTGTGTCAAGTCATACAATTTGAATCTTGGATTCAAATGAAAAACATAACCTGAAAAGGATGCAATTGATAATAAATACATAAGCCATTTCCTTCAAGTTCTCTTCAGAAACAGAATCAATAAAATCATTTCTTTAGGCATTCACCACTAAAATCCCAAGCCCAAATTAAACAGAGATCAAACCATAATCAATAATCACAAGATTAACAAAAAAAAAAAAAGGGAAATCAGCTCCAAATCATAAGAAAAGGCACCGAAAGAATCAATACCTCAAATCGAATGTTCTTGTACACAAGCTCCTCAACGTTGCTGCCGACGGTTGGGTGCGTGGTGACAACCTCCCCCAAATGGAGCTTGTAAAGCGTCGTCGTTTTGCCGGCGTTGTCAAGGCCGACCACGACGATCTTGTACTCCTTGGCCGGGAATAGCATGAACCACATCTTCGACATAAGAGCACCCATCGATTTTTTTCTTTTCGCTCCTGCAATTGAAAAAAGAATTCCACGATCAAGATCTAAACCAGATTATTATGCACACGGGACTAGCAAATGAAACAAAAAAACACAGGAAAACTGACTTTCTTTATCTGAATCAATAATAGTGAGTCGTTTATTACGGTGATGGGGAGAAAGAAAACTGATTTCCTGGGGAAAGAAGAATGGATATTATGGGTTTTAGTGATTTTGCTTTTGGATGTTGGATTTTCCAAAGGGAATGAAGGGATTGATGTGAAGGGTAATGGGTTCGTTGAGGAAATTTTTTCTTTTTTTATTTTTTTCTTTTTTTTTCTAATAATATTTGTTTATTCCGAATATTCGTAATCTTAATCAATATCTAAGATTAATCTAAACACATTGGCTCTCTCTCTCTCTCTCTCTCTCTCTCTCTCTCTCTCTCTCTCTCTCTCTCTCTCTCTCTCTCTCTCTCTCTCTCTCCGAAAAGAAAAGCCCCAAATTCGTCATTATCCTAACCCTCTTCTCTCTCTAGTCCGCGGCCTTCTCACCGGTGGGTGCGGAGCACCTAACCATCTTCGACCAGCACTAGGAAGGAAGATGGTCTATTGGCGTCTCTACGGCTCTTCTTCTCTGTGTGGCAATTTCCCCTTTATCTTGGGCGGCATGCCGGCTGTGGTTTCTGCCGACAGCTCCATCAGGTAGGGTAGTGCACCATCTTTCAATGTTCGATTCGACTTTGTTTTGACCTCTCCTCGTCTTTGTTGCCCCTGGGTTTGGTGCGACATGTTCTTCTGGCGGGTGTCAATCGTCTCGATTTTGGCCGTTGGGTCACGAAGGTCTGTTGGATTGTTGGGCTGGGGTTATTACGTTCCTTCTTGGTGCTCCCGGCGGAGTCTCCCTTGGGAGGGCAAGAGGGCGGTGATCTGGATTTAGTTAGCCGTCAGTGTTTGAAGGGAGTCTCTATTCGGGTCGTCGTCTTTGCTTTGCCGGTGGTGAGAAGTGGTTGTCCGATTGGTGGAAAGGGCATACCTCTAGTTTTTGTTGTCATTCTGAGGTTTGTGCATGCGTTGTGTTTGTGTGTGGTGTTGGGTTTTGCTTTTGTTTGTTGTTGTGGTTGTCGATTCTCCTTTTGGGAGTAGGTAATTCTCCTGTTGGAGTAGGGTATTCTCCCGTTGGGAGTGTTATGTTTGTTCTGATGTGGTTGTGGGTGAGTTTTGGGTGAGTTGTGTGAGTTTTGGGTGTTCTAGGTCATACCTTGCGTATGGTGCTCTCTTTTCAATTGGTTGTATTAGGGATCTTTGTCGTGGTTTGTTTTAATGAGATTTTCTATCGTTTGGACAAAAAAAAAAAATAAAAAATCAT